AATCATTTTTTAATCGATTTTAATCTGATTATTCCCCTTATTTTTTTTACATGGGATTTCTCTGAGATCTGCTCTTTCTAGATATTTTAGCTAATTTGAGACTTATTGATTCTAGAATAGATATACGATCTCATATGAACATCAAATGTAGATATATTTGGATAAAGTTTTCTTTCTCGTAAGTATTATTGTGCGTTGGAATTTAACCAATAACTAAATAAAATTTCTTCAATATTCAATGATATTTTTTCCACATTTTCGGAAAGGTTCGAAGAAAAATCACTAAACTCTCAAAAATTTCTTTCTTTAAATTGTTCGGTTGAATTTCAACTAACAAAAGGATTTATGAGGAAAAAACCTTATTAAAATTTTCTCTTCTTATATGTAATGTTCATATGTGACTATATGACCATTCCAGAATCAGTAAGTCTCAAATTAGCTGAAGTGTCTAGAAAAGACAGCTACCCAACGCCTGATGACATCAGTGCAAATTGTCCGATCTAGAGAATTTTAGACAGATGAGCGTCTAAAATCGGTTATCCATTGACACTTGAACTATATAAGTTAGAACTATTAGAAACAATTACAAACTGCTTCAAGCGTCTTGTCTAAACATGCAAACCGTCTTATTTATACATAGTCAGATGTCAAAGACCGATGCCGAATGCTTTCTATAGCAGATTCAAAAGTTACTAATGCACTTTCATCAAACGTCTCGGGCAATGAATAGTTTGAGAGAAAAATATATCATACGACTCACCAATTTATTCTGATTCCAAACATGTATCTCTAGTTGGGGGCAAACATTCTAGAGAATTGTTTAAAGCGAGTTAAGTTCTGATAGTACTGATGTCTTCAAATTTTCTACATTATTGTTATAACAAACAATGCGTGATTTTTTCAACGGAAAACTAGTCTTGAAAATTTTACCTATCTATGACATCACACGGAACGTTTATATGATATTAAGCTGGATGCTTTATTTATATGATTGTGATGATTATTACTGATGAAATCTTTTATATCTAATGTTTTTCTAGAACAGATTGTTTGTTTTTAAATCAAAAACACCTTTAATACACTATTTCTAATTTTTTCTGATATCTCAATATTCTTTTTGTTCTACTATTTCACTGATGAGGGTGTGGGCATGGGTGTGGGTGTGAGAGTGTGGGTGTGGGGTGTGAGTGCGAGTGCAGGTGTGAGTGTGCGTGTAGGTATTCATTTTATTCATAACGACACCCCACACTCACACCCACACCCAGCAATAGGACTTGATGACCCAAGGGTACCCCCCAACAGTAGGACTTGAGGACCCAAGGATACCCCCAATAATAGGAGTTGAGGACCCAAGGATACCTCTCAATAATAGGACTTGAGGACCCAAGGGTACCCCCAATAATAGGAATTGAGGACCCAAGAGTACCTCTCAATAGTAGGACTTAACCCATGTAAAAAAAATATGTAAAAAAATCAATTTTAATAATCAAAAAATCGATTAAAAATCGATTTTAATCATACACCTTTAATCAATAGTTTAAGCAGTAATAATCAAAACAAAATCAGATGATAATCGATTATTTCAAATATGATGATTATAATCGATTTGATAAAATTTAGAAAATGGATTATAATCAACATATTTGAAATAATCGATTATCATCTGATTTTGTTCTGATTATTACTGCTTAAACTATTGATTAAAGGTGTATGATTAAAATCGATTTTTAATCGATTTTTTGATTATTTTTTTTTACATGGGAAGGACCCAAGGGTATCCCTCAATAATAGGACTTGAGGACCTAAGGGTACCTCCCAATAATAGGACTAGAGAACCCAAGGGTACCTTCCAATAGTAGCACTTGAGAACCCAAGGGTACCTCTCAATAGTAGGGCTTGACGACCCAAGGGTACTCCCAATAATAGGACTTGAGGACCCAAGGGTATCCCGCAATAATAGAACTTGAGGACCCAAGGGTACCCCCAATAGTAGGACTTGAGAACCCAAGGGTACCTCCCAATAATAGGAGTTGAGAACCCAAGGGTACCCCCAATAGTAGGACTTGAGGACCCAAGGATACCCCTCAATAATAGGACTTGAGGACCCAAGGGTATCCCACAATAGTATGGCCGTTACCCCGTTCGTCGGTAACTGGTAACGGTAACTTCCCACCCCTAATTATGGATACCGGCTTTATAGCAAAATATGGTTTTAAACATAAACTATTATGCAAGTGAACCGGTAACCGGTCTGAACCGATTACCGGTTCAACGGTTACCGGTTCAGACCGGTTACCGGTTCATACCGGTTACCGGTTCACCGGTTACCGGTTCACCGGTTACCGATAGACCGGTTACCGATTAGGCCGGTTTTCGTCACCGTTGCACCCCTATTAGAGAAATTCAAGATGAGCTGATTCAAATTGAAGAGAAATAAAATGAGATTGATGGATATTGTCACTTTCCTATTTGGGTAATATTAAAAGTTTTAGCAGGAGTCTGAATGAAGTAGAATAAAGTCTTTTTCATATTGGCTTCGAGTAAGAACATACTTTCATATCGTACGCGTTGATTTTGTCAACACTATCGATGCAGATGTGATACATGAATATGTGAAGGTAAGGAATGAAACACAACGAGTCAAGCTTTTCATTTTTTTCGTTCTTCTCAAAATAAAAAACAATCAAGTAACTTAACAAAAGTATTGAACTGTGCTAACAGAAACATGACTAATACATATTAAGATACATCAGAGTCATTCATTGTTGTTTGGTTTGACACCAAAGCGTTTAATAAAGAAGAATAAATGACACGAGAACTGCTATGAGAGACTATTGGTAGCTTGATGGTATTTGACGATAAAGATAAATGTTAACGATTTCTCGGATGAAATCTTCATATGAAGCGGCTGGTGTTGATCATTAATCAGAAACTACATGAGGAATGGACCAAACAAAACCTAAAAGTAATGAATCTATCGTAACATTATTGCTTTTAATAATCATAATATCTATGTGCCTTAGGATCGTCTTTACAATACTTGATCAACTATCTTCACATTAACCAGGCATTCATGTCTGCTATCTATCAATTGACCATTTAGAATATGTAGTAAAACAATTTTTCGATCAATGATCTCGTTTGAATGAAATACATAGAAATGAGTTGGTTTTGAACATGATTTATTTTATGCTACTATGGTGTATTTGTTCTTAACAAGGATTATCTCGTAATTGACGTATCCTGCAATCGTACCAATGTGTAAGTTTTCGAGTAATCTATTAAATGAAAACAAATGTTATCAAGTTTTCACCATTCATAGCATTTCTATTGAGCAAGGATTAAACACTAGATAAATATATTAGGTTGTTTTTTTTTCAAGAAAAGAAGACGAGGGTGTGGGTACGGATCTTTCCTTTAGTCACGCAGGCACCAATACGCAAATGCGTATTCGCTTGCGAACAAATTGAAATGTTTCGTGGATGTTCTATGCATTGTGCTTCTGAAAAAAATATTGAACCTATCATCATTGATAAGTGTGCACTTTCGCCCTTGAGTATTATTTGTAAAAGTATTGTATTATTAGCACAAGATCGGATTTCTCGGAATACAGTGATATTTGATATTGGCGATGATTGAAAAGATAGAATGATGAAAATTGTTCGACTGTATAATTTAGTATCCTGTGTCTAACTCCACTTAGTCAAATCGACAAAAAAACCATCTAAAAATTAATCATATTCGATGTACTCTTAAGAATTTTCTTTGTGCATGTTCTTAGCAGATTCATTCGATCGATACACGAGTAATTTTGATTTTCGTCGAATCTTACCTTTTTGCCAGTTTTAATATCGTTGAATGAATTCATAACCGAAAATGAATGTGGAGTATCAGTCTAAAGAGAACAGGACCCATACCTTTCCGCGAATACGTCTGAATCTATCTATTGAACCTCAAAGAAAATATCATGGCTATATTGCTGCTACAAGCCTCTTGGGTGGGTGTGGGTGTTTTTTTCTTCATACTAACACGCACACCCAACAGATCATATTTGATCTCAACTCGCTTTTGCTTCTGGATTCATTGAGAGATATTGGAATCGGCGAAAATGGACCTATTCGGTACAACAACCCTCGGCATTTTCTTATTAGTTTTTTCACAGTTTTGAAACTCCATAAAAACAGGGGGGGGGGGGGGGGGGGGGGAGAAGGATCGAATGATACTATGTAATTGTTGTTTAGTGTATATCTTTCTTGAAATAGGTATATTTCGACGATTCTTTCTTTTGCATCGCAATTACTAAGGGCTTAGTGAATCAAATTTTATTTTCGATTGATTCAAGTTACTAATCTTTTTTATAGATGCATACTCCTATATCTTGTCTCCAACTTTCGAGCATTTATAGACACATTTCAACAAAGAGAGGCAGAGAGCAGCAGAATGTCGATAAATTATGCTAGAATTGTTTTAATTTTTGTGTCGATGGTCGTATCTTCGGTTATCGGCAGTATGCCGCGTACTGATGTGACCGTTTCTGGTATCTCTTCTGGTGGTGCCATGGCCGTTCAATTACACATGGCCTTTTCAAATGACATTAGTGGGTGCGGTATTTTAGCAGGTCCTCCTTATTATTGTGCAGGAAATTTTATGACAGCTACGGCTTGTATGAGTGGTCCATTGAACTTTGTCACAGCCCCAGGTATTTTGTTAAAACTGAAATGGTATGGTTCGATGGGCAGTATCGATAATGTTTCGAACATCCATGGTGATCCTGTGTATATATTCACTGGTAAATATGATCTCGTTGCCCGACCCAGTACAGTCAAGATAAATGAAGATGTCTATTCCGAATTGGGTGCGAATATCAAGACAAATTATGACATGGCCGCTACTCATGGATTTCCTACAGATAATTTTGGAAAGAGTTGTTCAACTCTTAATTTGGAGAATTATATCAATAACTGGTTCGTAGAACAAATAACTATGGAATCATTTTTGTATTTTTTTTCCTAATGATTTAGTGACTTCAATATGGCATATGATATTTTGAATCATCTCTATGGTGGAAACCTAATCAGACCAAAGAGTGGTACTCAAGTTCCATTGATTGGTCAAATGGCTGTATTCGATCAGAAGGCATTCATGAATCCACCTTCATCATTGAGTGAAAATCACACACCGAGCTCGTCTCTGTTGAAATGGATCTCAGAAAGTATGAGTTTGTATACAACCGATGACTGGGATTGGCCTACGTCTGGTCTTGTTAATTGGGATATTCTTGGTGCCACAACAGTACACACAAGACAACTCACTTCGCGAGCCTTATCACACGGTTTTGATCAAGAAGGCTTCATCTATTTTCCATCCGCCTGTGCTCAAGGCCAGAAATGTTCGATTCATGTTGCTCTTCATGGCTGCCAGCAAGGTTTTCTCATATCATCTAGTATTTCTCTTGTAAATTCTCTTGTATTATTCTAGGAAAGCATTATGTTGATGATGTATTTGCAACAAAAGCTGGCTATTTGGAAGTTGCTGAACTCAACAACTTGATTGTTGTTTTTCCTCAAGTGGCTCCAACAATGTTCTTGCCAACGAATCCGATGGGCTGTTGGGATTGGTGGGGATATAGTTCATTGTCATTTGCTACGAAAACAGCACCTCAAATGGCTGGTGTCAAGAAGATGATCGACACGGTTCGCTTGATTAATCAAGCTATGGTCGCCTCTGTCTAAACAAACGATGAGATTATCCAAAGATAGACTTTATTGTGACATATGATTGTATGATTGAGTATTGTTTCGATAAAACTATCACTTAATAAAAAAAATTTCGAATGAACTTGATTAATGTTTTGAAAGTGCTAAACTCCGCCTATTAGAAAAACTCAAAGCCAGCAGAGCCAAAAGACGATCATTGATGTAGAAAATGTTGTTTATATAAGTTTTTAAAGTGTATTACCGCGTTAAGAATTGATGAATTTTGTTTTGTAAAGTTTGTTTTAACATACATCACATGTACCAGTTTTACAGAACAGATAAAAAGGAACGAGTTTTCAAGAAAGTGAATGCAAATAACTCAATTCAGAATTTATTAATTACTTTTTCTGAAAAGTAGATTGTTTCAAAAATCCACTCAATAAAAATAGATTGAGAATTTTGAAGAAAAATCGTCCCATGTTTGTGATTACATACTTTTAATTTCCAAAACTCATCTTTAATAATAATAAAGTCCTAGACGAAAACGCTAGAAACGAAGTCGATTTGATACAAAAATTCGAGAGTTTAGCAAGTTCTTATTATCTTTTCTCTTGTATCTGTTTGTCAAAATGTCAGTAACCATTTCCTATCATTAGTAGCAGAAACAGTTAGAAAGTACTATGTTCAATATTTTCTTTCAAAATTCAGCGTATCTATCGACTTATTTTCCACAAGTTAGCTTAACTTTGAGAGCAGTACCAAGAGCCAATCAGCTTTTTAATTAGTAGAAATCTGATAATTCTGAAAGATAATTTTTATAAGGAAGATAATCAGAATAATGATGGCTCTTGTCATTCGAAAGTTTTAGCGATGGAAGAACATCCACACATTCTATCATTGAAAGGAAAGAAAATAAGGTTGATTTTTTAAGAGAAATTAGTCTTCAACTGATTAAAATAGGATTTACTTTGATCGTTTTTATCTGTTCCATAGGTAATGTGGGTGTGAAGTATGAGTGCCAGTGAAGAGAAAATCCACATCCACACCCGATAGTGAAAAATAAAGAGAATTCAACTTAGCGAACAATTTATGATTAGAATTGAGTTTAGAGGATCACTTGACTTAACTCTTCATCGTAAGAATTAATCAATACTGAAGAATTATCGGCGCTAGTACATTTCGTCGCACGACACTTCGTCGCGTTCACTTCGTCGCGATCATTTCGTCGCACGATCACTTCGTCGCATAACACTTCGTCGTACGACATTTTGTCGCAGAACATTTTTTTTTCGTTCTGTTTGTCGCAGAACAATTTCTTTCGTTCTGTTCGTTGCAGAATAATTTTTTCTTTCGTTCTGTTCGTTGCAGAATAATTTTTTCTTTCGTTCTGTTCGTTGCAGAATAATTTTTTCTTTCGTTCTGCTTCTTGTATTTCTGTTAATTAGTCCTGTTTTTTTTGACAACTAGTCAAAATAAAACAAAGTAAATGAAAAACTCTAAAATATGGGTACAACAAGGACAGACAATTGATTGCTCTAAAACGTATGACTTGAATTCGGAAAATAGATCAATGAAAGGTCTAAACCAAATGTAATTCTGAGACAGTTGAAGTCAGCAAAAAATAATTATATTTGTCATTATGTTAATGAATATTAACATTGACTAGATCAACGATAACATTGCCAGGATGCGATGGATCTGACTATCTGATAGCATCAGATCTTATCGGAGTCCTTAGTATTGAATTCTATTGGAATTCTTGGAATACGACGAGTTGACTTTGACCTTGGTACTTATCCAACGCTCTCCAAATTAGTTCTTTAGATTATTTTCCCCTTTAGATTAGTTCTCTTCTTTTATCTTTGGTTTTTCTTTTTTCTTGCTTTTTCGTTTCACTTTGTTGATGGTTCTGTTATGCATGATACATAAAATGAAGATGAGTTAAATTGATCAATTTGATGTTTTTAAAAAAAATAATTAAGAGGAATGCAATGAACAGAACGAAAGAAAATTGTTCTGCAACGAGCAGAACGAAAGAAATTGTTCTGCGACAAAATGTCGTGCGACGAAGTGAGCGGTCACCGAATTATCGTGTTAATTTTTTCTTATTAAAAGGTTTACTATTAATTTTGAATTCCAAGATGATAATCGCTTCGAAAAATCCGAAACCTTTCGATGTGGTACATGACATATCGAGTATGATCCATTCACAAGTTATAATTTTATTGATAGGTTTTTGGACATTAATAACTTACTATTGATGCGCGGAAGACCCTTTTTCTTTTAAGAAAAGCTGAGTTAATTAATAACATTTTCTTATTGGAAAGTGGTTTCGAATCTTATCGCAAAGACTTCCAAAAACGTCTATTGACTTTTGTAGAACGGTATCACAAAGATTTTCAATAATAGAAAACTATAAATTGAAAATAATTGAATAACAAGAAGAACTATAAGTGATCGAATTAGATTTCGAACAAAAAAAAAAGGTGTGGATGTGAATGATTTTCTTGAGAATGAACATTTGATTGAAACGAAGAAAAAACACTTACACTGTCAAGGAATCACTTTGTTCTCAAGTGAGTAATAATTGTTGTTACATAGAGCATCAAAGATATGTAGATAATACACTATTGA